ACTTAAGAGGAGACTGCTTTTATTTATTTATTATTTATTTTAGGAAACTGCTTTTAATGGGTTGCATAGTGTCCCCCAAAATTCATGTCATCAGGAACTTGTGAATATATGATCATATTTAGAATTCAGGTCTTTCCAGACATAAACAAGGTAAGATAAAGTCATAATGGATCAGGGTGGGTCCTCAATCCAATATGACTGTTGTCTTTATAAGAAAGGGGACTCCAGACAGAGACACAGATCATATTGGAGAAGGCCATGAAAAGACAGGGACAAAGATTGGAGGGATGCATCTATAAGCTAAGGAATACTAAAGATAGCCCACAACTACCAGAAGTTACAAGAGGAGAGAAATAATTATTTCCTACAGCCTCTGAATCATGGCCCTGCTGACACCTTAATTTCAGATTTCTAGCCTTCAGAACTGTGAGACAATAAATTTTTGTTGTATAAAGCTACCCATTTTGTGTTAATCTATTATGACATCCCTAGGAAACTACTGCATTGTTTCATCATTAAGTGTGAATCCCTGGAGAGGGAAGGAAGAGCATATTCTGTATCTGCAAATTATAGGACAGAAACAATTTCGACACAGTGTTTTCAGGGCCTTCTCTTTTTCTAAGAGAGAGCTATGCATACAAACTGAAAGAAAAAACCAATAAGTTCTGAAATCATGGGAGCCAAAAGTAGGGGCACCTGTGGGGTACTTAGCATTGATGTGGGAGATGCCTCCCTTCTTCAATGGAAGTCCCTGGAAGAATCTCACTATGAATGTCAGGTAAGTAGAAGAGCATTCTAGGGCAAGGGCTCATCAGGGACAAAAGTACCAGCAAAGATCAAAAACACAGAAGTTGTATCTCTAAATGATTATGGAAGTTCTCCCTTCTTTGGGCTAACTATACTCTTGCAGGCCCTGGGCAATTTGAAGATAAACAGTACTAAGAAAATTTGATGCATGAAAAGAAAAAGCTATGAAAGATTTTGCAGAAAGGTGACCAACTCTGAAAGACAAATGGAAGCTAACCAAAAGAAGAATAGATGGAAGGACATTTCAGGTGGAAAAGATAACAAAAATAAGGACCTAGACTTGGTAGTGAAATGGCACACTGGACCTCTAAAAAGAACTGAGAAAGACCAACACATAGATGAAGAGCAGGAGTTTCCAGGCATAAGATGAAGTAAATTTCTATGAGGCAGACTGGGGAACATGCGGACTTTGTGAGGGTAGAGGAAAAACACTGGATCTTAAAACCAATGATATACTGGAGATAAACTCCAAAACTATTTCCAAATGTAAACCATTGTTTGTTTCATTAGAACTTTAGTATTACCTGACAACTGCATTGTGGGCTTAATGGGTGTTAGTGTGCTAGCCTAAGAATTATATCAATACTTTTGATAATATTTCTATATGCTCCTGAATTCCAAATAGCCAATTTAAAAACAAACGTACTCTATTTCTAAAAGGCAAGCTAGCTATCCCTAGAAAAGTGCCACACCCAGAGACAGGCTTGAATCTGAAGAAGAAAGACAATTCATCATAAATGATCCTCTGGTACCATAGCTTTCTGAATAGCTGATGAACAAATCTATCACTTTTCTTTAATATTCACATGCTCTTTTTCATTGGTAAAGCCAGAAATGCCACCACAGGTCTTGATAAAATTGAACCAGGAACCATAATTAAAATGGTTTGAAATATTCCCTGATCTCCCTACTCCTAACATGAAGCTGTAATAGAGCCGAGAAGGTAAAAGGCAAGAGAATCCCTTCTAATCCCCTGACCAAACCGGGTGATTCTTGGACAACCATATTTTCATAAGAAACCCTAGAAAATTTCATTCTCTTAGTTTTAATACAAAGGAAGCTACATGCCTATGCTCCCAGACTTGCCAGTAAAAAGCAATGGAGATTGAATAAGGGCGACAGCGGCCTTCCTTGAATTCTCTTCCTGTCCATGAATTAAATCCTCATAGAGGTGAGACTCTCATCACCACACAGCCCCAGGAAAGGACATGACTGATTGAGTTTATATTATAATACCTGGTACCTCTCATGCCTCCAGGAAGGAGACATAAAATAAAGATGCCTGTACCATGAAATCATCAAATATGTTCTTCAGAATTCAAGGACTTAAATTATTCATTGACTAGGGCATTTCTTTTTTTTTGAAGGAGAATTAAAGGTGAAAAAAACCCTAATCTTTCTGTCACAAAATAAAATATCATCCCTAATGTTCAAATTCACCCTCAGAACACAGTATAATCCCATATTATAACCAATTTTGCAAAAGTGAAAGTGTATGCAAAATAATATAAACAAAAGGAAAAGAAAGCAACTGAGTATGAGAAAATAGCTAACAGCAAATGACATTTGGAATGAAAGATAGAAAACCCACACTGTTTTGTTTTATATATAAATAGATCGGGAGCAGAAATTCACTAGAGACATTTGATAATCAATATAACATTACCCTGAAGGCCATATACAACTATAATCTTAAAAACAAAACTCAAGGAAATGGAACATTTAAATTAGAAGGACTTTTAGAAACAAAATGGCAAAAAGAAATGCCTTAATGTACTTCAATATCGGGGAATTTTTAACTTTAGGGTTATTTTTCACAACCAGTTTTGCCAAGCAATGTTAAGGAGAGAGGGGGAAAAATGTCTTCAGTCTTTCCTGTCACTGTAGCCTTCGTAATCACCACAACTCAACATGACACCATAACTTGTAAGAAATTCTCCCTGGCATCCATTTAAGTGGACACTAATTGGAAAGTTCAGTGAACAGAAAAAGGCTGTGAACAATATATATTTCAACATGCTATACCCAATCCTGACCTTAAATGACAAGGAGGAGAAAAAAATGGCTCAACACAGCCTCTGCCTTCATTTTTATGCTGTGAAAACATGGTGTGCATTTGTTCCAGAAAACAATGCCAAGCCCATGGTGAGACCTCAATAAAACCCAAAATCCCCATGAGAATCGATCTGCTCCACACACGTCTCTACAAAAGGAGTATCTGTGTCCCCTGCAATGAAGTTAAGGGCTCCATGTGTGAGGAGGCAATGGTAATACATTCTCAAAGACCTGAGCTCTGAAGACAGGCAAGCAAGGAGGTCAACTTTGCTCCACCTATTCTTGGGAAAAGCACTTCTCCTCCGAGTTTCCATCTGTGAATTGGGCCCAGAGAGGACAGTTGGGTAAGCTATTGTGAGGGATGTTGTTGATGATGTGAATACAGCACAGCACCTACCAAATAGTTAGTGCTGCCTTAATTGTGGTAACACACACTGAAAATCACATTAAGTCTTAAGATCCGTGTTCAAGTTTTCAGAAAATGTATGCCTATCTGAAATATTGTTGGCTTATGTAGCTTGTTATCACTTGGAAAAACTACTCTTGTCTCTCACATTAACCTTATAAGATAAATAGTATGACTATCTCCATTTTGCAAAGGAAAAGACTAAGACACCGTGTGAAAGAATAATTTGCCTACCATGGCACAGTTGTTGACCGATGATACCTGACACTTTAGTAGGCATTCTGTTTTCAGCTTTTACATGCTGCATCTCTTTCCATTTTATTGAATAAATAAAAGGAAGTAATGGTATTTATTCAGGGAATAATTCTGGGAATTCTAAGAATTTTAGGAGGCTGTTGATGAAAACAATTTTGGGAGAAACTATCCCAAGGCTGCTGGATCTTCTGATGAAACAAGGAGAACTGTAGGAGACTATGGAATGCATTGTTTCTATGGCCCAGCATTCTTTGTAAACGTTGACTTCTGTGAACAGATTCTACCCCATCGTCATTGGGTTTAACATTCATTCAGGCCCAATCAATTACAGAACTTGTTTTCTGGGCACAGCGAGTAACTTCAGAGAAGGACACATAAGGGAAGCTAGTCAGAATCCTCTCCTGGAGCTGCCAGAGTTACAGGGAGAGAAAAGTTTCCTTTCAAGTAAGATTTCAAAGATGTAAGTCCAGGGTATTTAGTGTCAATCTTCTGATTCTTCAGTGTCCATATTTCATGCTGTGGGTCAAAAGTCTATTTTCAATGCAGGCAAGACAGAACAAGGAAAATAAGAGATGCAAAGTGAGATTCCTAGTAAGAACCAGTTCTCTAGTGCTCCGTGGCTCAGTTCTTTTAATCCTCTGAGCTTGCCCCAGTACTCTTCCCAGCCAAGTGAGGTAATATAGTTCTTTTTTTTTGTAAAAGATAGTCTGCCACTAGAGTCTTAAGGTCCCTGTTCAAAGTTTTCATAAAATGTAGGCCTGTCTGAAATCTTGTTGGCTTATGTAGCTTGTCATCATTTGTCTCCACCACTGCTCCCTGCATTGGAATGTCTGTTAGTCAGCTTTATGTCACTGTGACCAAAATACCAAGATAATTTAGAGCCAGATGAGAAAGTGCATGCCCATAATCTCAGCGACTCAGGAGGATAAGGCAGGATAATTATAAGTTCAAGGACAGCTTCAGCCACTTAACAAGACCCTGACCCAATGTTAAACATTTAAAAAAAAGCGGGGGGGGGGGGGGGGGGGGGGGGCTTGGAATGTATCTCTGTAGTAAATTACCCCTGGATTCAATCTCCAGTACCAGAAAAAAAAAGAAGAAAAGAATATATATATCATATGTATATAAAATTTAAAGAAGGGAAAATTTATTTTGGCTTATGGTTTCAGAGTCCATGGTTGGTTGGTTTCATCGCTCTGGACCCAAAATGAGGCGGAGTATCATGGCTGAAGGGTTCAGGGTAGGAAAGCTACTTGGCTCATGGTGGGATCAAGAAGCTGAGAGAGGAAAGGAAAAAGGCCACAGGGAAGATGAACCCTCCTTCCAGGTTATGCTCTCAGTAACCCACCTCCTCCAGCCATGCCCCATGTGCCTACAGTTACCACCCAATCCATTCAAACAAGGATGGACTGATTAGGTTTCAATTCTCATAATCTAAACATTGCACCTCTGAATACTTATGCCCTGACAGGAGTTTTTGGAGGACACCTCAACACAAACCATAACAGAATGTGATCTCTATGAGAGAAGAAATCTGGAGTGTGTTTCATTTAGGCTCTATCTCCAGCACATAGAAGAGAGACCAGCATATAGGAAGACTCAGTAAAATGTGGAAAAGTGAGTGGACAGATGAACAAGTAAGTGAAGCATATTCAAAGTCCAGGACTAAATTATCTCCAATGATGCATCTTATGAAGACACACTCTGAAGCTAATGAGGTCAAGATAGCTCAGCAGAACTCTGTGCAGACCAAGCCTCTTTAGGTACTCAAAAGAGGCAAACCTCCCATCCCTTTGCATGGAAAGTCAGTGAACAGGGTTTTCTCCAGCCACTAGGAAGCCTCAGGCAGACATCTATTGACTAGGCAAGAGGTCTGTCTACACTTGATGGGCCTTCTCACAGAACCAGAAGCAATTCAGAAGGGTGGTTTTTTGTTTTTGTTTTTGTTTTTGTTTTCTTTTGTTTTAAGCCCATATAGGTTGTGTTAAGGATAATAAAAAGAGGCTTTAGAATTGCCTATGTCTTAAATACCATAAAATTCAACTCTGCCTTCTTTACCAGGGTTGTGAGAAATGATCTTGCATACTAGGTAGTAAATGATAGTAAATAATGGATACAGGTTTCTCCAGTGGAAAAGAAGAAAAAGGTGAAAGAATAACTAGAATAACTGCACAAATTTTATTTCCAAACCTACTTTTGTGTTATTAATATTCTCAAGACAAAACAATTTTAACTCAATTGAGATTTTTTTTGTGTCTGTCTGCCATTTGATTTATTGGGTTTTCTTTTGTACTCTTTTTTTTAAGAAGGATACAAATTCAAATAAATGACAATAGACCATGGGGGTCCTGTTAAAGGGATTGTTATGGTGGAGAAGAAATTTACATTTGAATATTTAAAAACTTGATTTCCCACAAGTATTTGTTAAAATTGGCCTTATAAGGTATTTTGCAGGACACTTTCATAGGATTTGAAATTTTGAGAAATGTAAACGTGTTTTTCCTCCCAAAGGAGGAAGAATAGAACCTAACATTTAGGGAGTACATATGTTGTCAGATGCTGTAAGTGTATTATCTCATTTAACTGTTATAACAAATGATGAAAATGTACTAGTTTTATATCTGCTTTTGAGGGAACACTAAGCAACTTGTCCAAGTACACACAGCTAGGAAAGAGCAAAACTGGGATTTTAAAAAAGTCAGACTCCTACACCTTTGCTTGTATCTGGTAAGTCTTTTCAATACTAAGTTGCCTAGGGAGGGATGTTTGATAATAAGAGCACAAACAGAAGAGCCAAAGAAAGCAGAAGCTGTTTTTGCAGGTTTGTTTGTTTAATTATTTGACCCACCTTGGCAGCACATATTGAAGGGCTGATGTAATCTGAAGGAGACCGGGTTGTTGAGGCTCCCAAGCTTATTTTATACATGAACCCTACATCTGCACGAAGTAAAACCATCTCCCAAAATTAACTACAAATGCTTTAGGAGTCTTCCAGACTTTGCTGATGTAGTCCAGAAGATGGCAGGCTCCAGAAAAGGGAGTCTCCTCATATAAAAGAAGACCCCAAAGGCATGATTTTTTTTTAAGAGAGAGTGAGAGAGGAGAGAGAGAGAGAGAATTTTTAATATTTATTTTCTGGTTCTCTGCGGACACAACATCTTTGTTGGTATGTGGTGCTGAGGATCGAACCTGGGCCGCACGCATGCCAGACGGGCGCGCTACCGCCTGAGCCACATCCCCAGCCCAGGCATGATATTTTTAAGCATATTTTATGCCCTGGATATTATTCTTGGTCCTTAGGACATAATCATAAACAAGACACCCTGGGGCTTACATGGAGGTACACACTAAAAAATAACTAAACAAATTTATCAAACAAACCATTGCAGCTTAGTAAGTGTTAGAAGGTTCAAGAATGGGATGCTATCATAATAAGGAACAGAACCGTGGGAACAGCTACTTTTGTATTTTGTGGTCAGCAAAGGCATCTTTGAGAAAGGGACTCTTGATCTGAATCCTAACAAGAAAAATAAAGCCATGCCAAGAAGGGCATTGTAGACAGAGAATTCAGCAAACAAAAAAAAGGAATGAGCCTATGCTAAGAAACAAAAAGAGACTGGGGTAAAGCAAAGGAGTAAGAGGCAGAGAGGAGGATGAAGGGATATGGGCAGGACCTTGTGGTCTATAATAATCTGGATTTTATTCAGTAGGGACTCAACAGATGCAAACCTTCTGTCCCTTTCGGTAGAATGAGAAGCTCTGTAGAATTTTCTCTGGTGTGACTAATATTTGTTAAAAGATATTCTGGCTGCTGTTTAAAGAATCACTGAGGAGGGCTGTTGAGGAAGGGTAAATGGAAGTCCCCCATACCTTCAATCTGTTTGACATTGCTTTTCAATTTGTTCATAGCATTCAATTGGTTTATTAGATTAGGTGCCTATTGCAGGAACCCAGTTACCACAGGGTTAGATTACAGTGATCTTTTTCTATGGGAAAGTAGATGCATTTGTTAAGGGTAAGCATCCCTAATCTAAAATCTCATATGCCCCCAAATTCAAAACTTTTTGTGTACCACTGTGATGCACAAGGGAAAAATTCCACACTTGACCTCATGTGCCATATTAGTCAAACTATAGTAAACTAAAAGTATTCTATAAAATTACCTTCCTGCATTATGTATAAGGTATATTTGAAACAGAAATGAATTTTATGTTTACTTGAGTCCTGTTTCTAAGGTGTCTCATTATCATGTTATGGTTTAGATGTGAAGTATCCCCCAAGTTCATTAAAACAATTAATTGCTATCCTATGGAGCAATTAATCCATGTGCATGAGCAGAGGAAGTTCATGTGTGAAACAATGCAAGGTTTGGGTTATGAAAGCCTTAACCTAATCTAGTGAATTAATCCCCTGATAGGTAGGGTATAGCTGTAGGTGGGTTCTTGGGGGTGTGCCTTTGGGATTTGTATTTTGTCCTTGTTGAGCAGAACTTCCTGATGATCATGTCCTTAGCCACTTTCCTCTACCATACACTTCTGCCATGATGTTCTGCCTCATCTCAGGCCCCAAGCAATAGAGTCAGCCCTCTATGAAATGAGACCTCTGAAACCATTAGTCCCCAAATAAACTTTTCCTCCTCTAATTGTTCTTGCCAGGTCTTTTGGTCACAGCAGCAACAATGTTGACTAAAATACATATGCAAGTTTTCTAATATCTGAAAAAAAATTCCAAATCTGAAATACTGTCCCAAGAGTTTCAAATAAGGGGTACAATAATCTAAGTCCACCAAATCTGCTGTGATAGACTAAGAAAGAGATGAAAGATGACTCTCATGTTTGGACATGGTTCACACTGGTATGTACACAGAGGAGTAAGGAAGGGGGAGGGTTGAAAATTTTTAGAGCTCTATTTTATCTGAAGGAATTTTGACTTTATTTACTAGATATTAAAAGAACTTTGAAAAGATACTTATTCTTTTACTTTGTTTATAATAAAATGTTAGTGAAATATAATTAATGAAAGAATAATTAATAAAGGGCTATGGTTCTTCCTATGGAAATGTCCCATCTCAAAAGAGCATGTGGTGACTTACTACTCTCCTACTGCTGTCTTGATATTCTTAATAATTTTATCATTATGTGTGTATGATTTTTTTTTGGGGGGGGGAATGTTACTGAGGATTGAACTCAGGGGCACCCTGACACTGAACCACATTCAGAATTCCTTTTTATTTTTTATTTTGAGACAGGTCCTTGCTGAGTTGCTGAGGCTAGCCTTGGACTTGAGATCCTCCTGCCTCCCAAGTCACTGGCATTACAGTTGTGTGTTACCATGACCTGCAATAATTTCTTCTTTGAACTCGTGTTTTGTAATGATAGCCTATGGAGCAATTAATCCATGTGCATGAGCAGAGGAAGTTTGCAGAATATGATATCTACTGTTTCCTTGCCATCCCATTTGCATATAGCATTTGTGGTGCTCCATGAGCATGGAATTTCAATAGGCCCATGAGCCACAGAAGTTTAAGAAGATGCAAGTGAATACAAAATAAGTGTACATGTAAATCAAGCTTCCAAAGAGTTTTGGTAGTATATGAACATATCAAAAAATGAAGCAAAATTTATTTATTATTATACTATTGATAGATACTGAAGTGTCTTCAATTTGGGACTATTATGAATTGTGCTACTATGAATATTCTTGTATATAACCTTTAATGTACACATATATCCATTTCTGTGGAGTGTTTATCTACATATAGAATTGCCATGTTATAGGGAATGTATATATTCAGTTCTAGATGATAATAGTCAGTCTTTCAAAGCAAATGATGTAAATTCTCGTTCTCTGCCATGGATGATAAATATTCTACCTGCTTCCATGTCTTTTCCAGCCCTAGTATTGTTGGGGTTTGTTAACTTTCCTGGTGGGTGTGTGGTGGTATTTAATTGTGGGTTTAGTTTGTAGATCCTTACTTTTTAAAAAAGACTTAGCATTTTTCAGACTTTTATTGGTCATTTGTATATCCTCATTTATATAATGCATGTTACCCACATTTTACTAATTTCCTGCTTTTTCTAATTCTTTTGTAAAGTTTTTATATAGGTGATACTGCACCTTCGTTACATGGGTGTATTACAAATATCTTCTACTCAGTAACTGGAATTTTCACTTCTTTGTGTTTCTAGTTTTAAAACAATTTGATTTATTAATATTTTCTTTTTGGTTAATGATTTTTGTGTATGTTCCTTAACTGCCTTATTTTCCACATTTATCTCAATGTCCCATGTGGAATTGATTTTTTATATGTGATATGAGAGAAGTGTCAGCATTTCATTTTTTTCCACATGGATAGCCAATTGACCCAACACTATTTATTGAAAAAACACCATCTTTCTCCACTGCACTGAAGAATTATCTTTCTCATAAATCAGGGGAATATATATGTATGGGTCCATTTCTAGAATTTGTTATGTCTATACTATTGCAACAGTTCTTTTGTTAGATCAGTTTCTCATTCTCATGCTTTTTATGTATCCCAAAACTATTTGTCTATCCTTGCCAAATATCATATTTTCAGAAATCCATTTGATTTCTTGTAGCATAGCTTATTTGAAGTATATATTGGTATCTAGTATTACAGACCTTCAATTTTGTTATTCTCCCTGGATTGTCTTGCCTATTCCTGGCCACCATCAAATGTTTTTAACAAAGAAAAAAAATGATTATTGTAGTATCTTAGGAATTTTATGTCATCAGTGATATTGTGACAGTGATCAAAAAAATGGATTTCTAAGAGCCAAAACACACACAAAAAATGAATGAGAATAAGGATCTACAAGTACCTTGACATCAGAAATAAAAATTAACAGATCAAAAGATGTTTCAAAAATGGGATCATAAGGACTCTGCCTGACTGAATGTAGGAAAGGAAATAAAGGATGAAGTTAACCACGACTGCAAGGTTTGAAGCCTAGATATCTGTAAGAATGGTAAAAACAATCATTGAAATAGGAAACAGCAGAGCAAGAGTTGGTTTGAGGAATAGGGGGAAAAAAGAGTTCCACAAACAGCATGTGAAATTTAGAGGATTTAAAGAACCATACCCTCAAGCATCCAGTAAGGTGTTGGAGATGTCGGATTGGAAGTTGAGAGAGATCAGGACTAGAGAGAATATCATAATTATATGAACGTATTTCAAAATGTCATAGATTAAATGTGAATTCAAGGGGAGAACACATGGAGAAAAGATAGGAGAAGAAGGGCTGAGGTTGAAGCTCAGTGGTAGAGCACTTGCCTAGCATGTGTGAGGAACAGGGTTTGATCCTTAGCACCACATTAATTAATTAATTAATAAAGGTATTGTGTCCACTTACAGCTAAAAAATTTTAAATAGATAGGAGAAGAAGGGATAATTGATGGTGAAGATAAAAATAAAGATATCCAAAACAGAAAGAGCTAAATGAAAATTGAACCAAGAATGAAGGAAAAAAGGAACAAGGGAAAGAACAAACAGGAAGAGAAAGAAAAATAATTTAAACATGAGTTTATAGAGAGGGTTTAGCTTCATCTTTATTGCAATGTTAGATCCATATAGTGATTCAAGCATCCTACTACAAAGTTATTTTGGCAGGACATTCATGTGGCAGAGCCTTTAAAAATTGTACCACCCTCTGGCTGTACTATTGTTACCATTGCTGCTGCCTTGCCAGCCGAAGGCTGATAGAGTAGAGGTTTGGGGCCACTGGGTTTCTTGTTGACATGTGTAGAACTGAAGTATAGCAGATGTGGGTAAGTATAGCAGATGTCCTGATTCCTTACATTATTGGAGTGTTCTTCTGAAGAATTAATGCCTATAAACTGATCAGAGATCATAAAAAAAGTGTTACACATTAAATCATAAAAATAATGTTTTGCTTCCTGATTACACTTGAGAATTTTTATTATATTATCTTTTATTCTATATAGTCCAATTTGGGGATGTTGATCATTTACAAATAAAGACTATTAAATGTTCTTGAAGCCTGTGTATCAGATTAATTTATACTCTGGAAGCCAGATGAGGTGTTAACTACATTCAGGTTGCACTTCAATGGTTTGAAAGGTAATTGTTTTATATTCCCAGAACTTAAAAGAGACTTCCAAAAATAGAGTAGACTGTCAAACACAGAGACAATAAAACATTTGAATTGTTATTTTCTTAACATTCCTTTCAATTCTGTGATTTATCTAACATTAAAATACTTCACCAAAAATAGACAACAGTGAAAGGTAACATCATAAAGTTCCACCATCGTTGATTAGAGTTGTGTACTGATATTTTTTCTGCTTTAGAAAAAAGTAGAAAATAGGGTTTAGAAAATGTGGAAAAAGTTGAAATTCTAAATTTGGAAAATGCTTTTGCATCTCAATAGACTCTCAGTATAAATGTGATGACCTGAACCATATTCAGCAGCCGTGCTCTTTCCTCTGTTATCTGTCTGATATTTGGGATATGGTATATAACATGTGAAGACACATTAGCCCATATGACACTGTGGTATTGAAAAAAAAGCAGCAAGCACACTCATTTCCCCCTCACTCATTCTTCCTTGAAGCAGACCATTAAATAAGTTATGAAATTTTTCATTCCAGAAGTGCCTATTCTATACTGAGCGGACAGAAATGTTTTTTTTTCTCTGAAGACACAGGGACATAGAAAAAACTCTCTGAACAAATAGGCTGTGCTAAGTTCCCTCTAGTTTATTGTCATTAGATCATAACCCCTTTGGCCAATCATATTTCTGCATAAGCATATATTTTATCACCAAAGTTAGCTTTAAAATACACAGATTTTCCTGGTTGGTTTTTTTGTTTGTTTGTTTGTTTGTTTTAGTTTTTCCGAAGCCCCTTGTGTCATACAAAATTTATGCTAATTATGCTATGTTTTCTTTGTATATAACCTTTTATTATTATAGGGGTCTCGGCTGTGAACCTAATAATAGGTGAGAAATCTTTTCTCCCCAACAGGAAAGAGAAGTTGGAGGTAAATAATGGAAGATTTCTCTTGAGTAGCCTTAGTTTGTGTTTTGCTCCTATAATAACATATCACAGGATGGGTGCTTAGTGTGGACTGTGAATGTCCTCCAAAGGCCCATTTATTGAAGGCTTGGTCCCTAAGATGTCACTACTGGGAGGCAATGGAACCTTTAAGATGTGGAACCTAATGGAAGGTCCTTAAGTCACTGGGTGTTATAGGACCCTAGCCATTCCTCATTTTCTTCACTCCCTGGATAACAAGGGTTTTTTGTTTGTTTGTTTGTTTGTTTGTTTGTTTTGCTCTGTCATCTTCTCCCCATCATGGTATGCTGCCTCACCCTTGGTCCCAAGCCATTGAGCCAACTACCCATGGAGAGGAACCTCCAAAACTCTGAGCCCAAATAAACTTTTTTTTCCTGTATAAGCTAATTATATGGATATTTTGCTACTGTGATAGATAACTAAGACATTGAGAAATTTATAAACAATAGAAGTTTATTTGGCTCATACTTCTTATGGGTGGAAAGGTCAAGGCTGAAAGGTTGCATCTGGCAGGGCCTCCTGGCTACATCATAACACATTGATAGGCGTCACATAGTAAGGAGTCCACACACACATGTGCACATGAGAAAGAGAGACAAGGTAGGAGAGAGCCTGCAAATAAATAAATCCACTCCCATAATAATAGTATGAATGCAAATTTGAGAGCAAAGCAGTCATGATCTCATCACCTCCTAAAAGTCCTGCCTCTTAAGTCTGTTGCACCAGGAATTAAGTTTCCAATACAAGAACTTTGGGGGACATATTCAAATTATAGAAAGTAGCTTGCATTAAAAAGTGCATTCCTTCCTTGGACATCAAGATATAAATAAACACCAACAAATAAGTTCCCTGACAACATTTTTCTCCTCTCCCCATTTTCTTAAGAATAACTGTTGAAAATACAAATAGTGAACACATCAAGGTACACACACACACACACACATAAATTCCAGTGGTCCAGAGATGCTGTATCATGTCTAATAACTTGATTACCAGAGTAATTATCTCAAAAGACAGTTACTATTGTGGTCAACATCCAAGATATTTCTACATACATTGATAGTTCTCATGACTAGATAGGAAATCAAAATATAGCAATTAAAAAAATATATTACCAAAACAAAACAAATTATTTGGACAAATAAATAAATCTAGGCCAAAAATTCATAATTACTCTGGCTTATAGATATTTTTACTACCAAAACCTCAAACAGCATGTCTTATTATTGTCTTTGCATTCTTGAAGTAACAGATAAGAGTCAAATATGTATTACTTTTGCTTGCCATTCAATTACCTATAAGTATATGATTCATTATTCTGTAGTCAACTTGATTAATGAAAGTCAAATATTTTCAAGTGAGCATTTCAGATTTCCAAAATTAATTTGTTAAAAATAAGAATTAATGTTTAAAACAATCTAAAAGACATTGGGAAACTATCTCAAAATGTTGATTTTCTAACCAAGCAATTGATCCTGAAAAAAAACATTCACAACCCAATTAGCATCACTCATGACTTTATAAAGTCTTTCTTTAATATTTTCAGGAATAAAACAGCTTGAGTTAGATGAAAATTAAAATTCAGAGGTTGAATTCAGCTGTGTACTTGAACATTGTGTAAATTCACTGAGCTCAGACACACATTTGTTTACTTGAGAACTTTTCAATAAGATTCTTATAATATGCTTGCAGCTCCAAATAAGCTGTGAAAATCACAAATTCTAAAACTATGAATATATTTTTGTGAAGTGATACACTGAAATTAACACTATACTTTTTGAATAAAAAGCCAAGGAGATACAAGAAATGTCTTCAATTT